AAGCCTCCCCCTTGGGGGGTGGTCATAGTTACTTCGCTTGTCAGGCGGATTGGCAACCGCAGTTAGGCTTTAGAGTTGTTTTAAGAGGAACGCTGCTTCTAATCCCTCGCCGTTCCTTAGTCGTCTCTTACGACATCCACGGGAAACGAAGAGATACGCTATTCTATGCCCGGACCACACGGCAGTAACTGTAATAAACTGTAATAACTATTAATGTCACCATAGTATACAATAATATTTTTATCATGTGTATACCTACCTAATAATACCTAATTCAAACAAACCATGAGGCCTCAAATGTGAAATATTAAAAATCTGAACATCATCGGTACCTATTTGCCTTCTGAATATCTAATTTCCGATCGATATACGAATATGGAAATGGTTTCAATAACTAATATACAACTACCATATAACCAAAATATAGATACGACTCAATACACGGAATTGAAAAGCGATATTTGCCATATCTTACAGAATGTTTATACCTGCAACCATTCCGAACAGAATATTATGTACAATTTATTTAGCCTACTTGATAGAAGTGGTGACAAAATATTAATAAAATATGAAAATCATATTCCAGATTCGAGTAAGCAAAGCCGCGGGATATAACTAGTATTAAATAAATCTATGTATAAATGCTACATACTAAATTGATCACGTAATCGCGTGGTTTGTATGAAAGGTAAAACTTTAATGTTTCATCTCTGGATAATTGGAGAAAGTTGAGACGTTTTATGAATATTATCGTGGAAAAATAAGGCTTATAACAATATTTATAGTACTATAAAACTTTTTAAAATTCATACATGAAACGTACGTATTATAAATGTGAAATTATGTGAGGATAAATGAATGTTTCTTATTCTTTCACACGGAAACTACTGAACACATTTTAATGAAATTTGATACATGTATGGGTTATATCACAGCTCAGCATACAAGATAGCTTACGTACTGATTCGCGTAGGTAAAACCCGCGAAGATGAGTATTAAGTACGTATTACGTATTAAGAGTCTTTGTATATTTTACGGTTATAAAAAGATATATATATATATATATATATATATATATATATATATATATATATATATATATATATATATATATATATATATAATAACATAAGTTTCATATCTTCACTTAAAATTCACTTATCATCCGCCCTATTCAGCGGAAATACGAAACACATACGAAGGGGCATTCACCGAGGTATTTTTTTTTCTTAAATTCAACATGTAACCTTCGTCAGAGTCGTACAGAGCTATCGTCGGCTGTCACGGAGCCCCCAAGTCGCACCACGTAGGATTTTCTAGTTTCATTTGATTACAGAACGGACCCGTGGGGGCCACCGTTACTTGGCGCCCAACGTGGGACCGACGTGTATGCGGTTATAATTTACGTTTTTATATTAAACCAGCTAGTTTCTATGGTTCCCATTTATGACGCCGTATGTAATACTAGTGATCTGTTGTTGCTTCGCTTGATTTTTTTTAAATAAGACAGTCCATACTACTCGCTGTTAATGTAACTTGCTGTAAGTAGAAGAATGTTTGAAATCAATCAAATATCTTTTGAGTTTATTCATTACGAGCAAAAAATCAAATCTTCATATGTCTTGATAACTAGTTTAGAAAAAAAAATATAACAGCTGTATATTAATTTGAAATAACAGTTTACAATCACGAAATATGATGAAGTAAAAGACTAAAAGAGAATTGATGACCCTATGGTGATGTGGCAACCTGCACGATCAACATAAATATATTATGTTTTGGTTGTCACATTGTATTCTGCGATGTGACATGATACTGTTCATATCTAGTCTATAGACGACTGTTACCACTCTCCATCAGGTGGAGCGTTAGCATATTTTCCTACCAATCTAAATTGCATACAAAAGCTACAGAAAAAAATATATCGAAAACTTCATCACAGAGTTCATTACCATTGTTCAACGCCTTTGGTACAAACGATTATATGACAATTCGAGACATATTATTTTTTCCATATATGAAAATCTGATAGGAAATTAGTCTTTACACTATAATATTAATTTATGCAAATATTCATTGTTAAATGTCATGGCGAAGAAATGATCGCTTCGATCCTTTAATTGTCCACTTCTGAACATAAGCCTCCACCTTGGAGGGGTTTTAGTAGTAGTGTAGCAGTAGTTGCCATACTTGTTTTTTTTTATACAACTTAGAATGGCAAACAAGCTTTGATGGAAAGTGGTGTCGCCTATAGACATGAGCAGTACCATGGACATAACAGAGTATACTGTTTCGCCCATGATACCCCCCATGCGTTGCCATTCCTGAGGACTCAGGTGTTATTCCTCTGTACCCAGTAAATTCACGCCATATCCCACCCTTCAAACCGAAACACAGCCATGCAAACACAACTGCTTCACGGTTGAAACACGAATGGGACAGAGGTACCCAAGCAATCGACTTTTGTACATGTCTCCCTCTGGAGACTCTGGCGGACTAGCGACCACAGTTAGATTTTAGAGATGATTTAAGGGACCCTGCTGTCCATTCCTCGCCCTCCCTTGGTCGCCTATTACGACACCCACGGGAAAGGAAGGGGTAGCTTATTCTATGCCGGGACCAATGATAGGGCAAATGATCGCTTATATAATATATATATATTATAAAATGATATATTCCGTAGATTCTTTTATTTTGACTTCCTCTTACACTAATACCTAACCATAGCATTTTTTTGTTTCTATAATATTTTTAAATTATATTTTTACTATTTGTACATTTTATTTCTAACACAATTTTTAATACAATACGGTGCGATTAATTTTATATCAATTGTCACATTAATTTTCTTTTAAACGCAAAATAAGTTAATGACGTCCATTTATAAGTTCACAACTCCTATAAGGCCGCATTATAAATTGACGCTTCCTCACATAAATGGCTCCAAACAGGTGTTGTTCATTGAAATTCGACTTAATAACCTTAATATCTCGTATGAAAGCACTATAAGCCACCCGCGGGGCAAGCACTGGCTAATGGAGCCTGCTTTCCTATGTTATTACACTATAAATCTTTATATATTTAGTCCGAGTGAATAAAATGTTCTAAGTTAGAAGGGATGTCTCATTCATTACAGATTATGTTACTTTTCATTTTAACCGACTTCAAAAATAAGGAAATTCGTAATTTATTTGTAACTTTTTATACATACATACATACATATCTGTCACGCCTGTCTCCCATTAGGGTAGGCAGAAACAATGGAACGCCAAATGCTTCGATTCAAACAAACCTCTTTCGCTTCTTCCACATTCATCAATCTTGTCATACACGCTCGTCGGTTACGGGTACTTTTAATTTGGCCCTTCTTCAGCACGTCGCCTATTTGGTCGACATACGTCCGTCTAGGGCGGCCCCTACCGACATCTCCATTCATTCTTGCTCGATAAATCTCTTTCGTAATTCTTCTTTCATCCATCCTCTCCAAATGACCAAACCAACGCAACATTCCTTTTTCAATTTTTGTCACTACATCGTCTTTCAGTCCACACTTCTCTCTAATCACACTGTTTCTTACTCTATCTTTTAAAGTAATACCACACATACTTCTCAAAGCTCTCATCTGTACAGCATTTATCTTACTTTCATGCTTCTTCTGCCATACCCACGATTCGCTTCCATACATGAGTGTTGGTGTCAGTACTCCTTGAATTATAGCAAGGCGAGCTTTGCTCGATACATTTTTACTTGACATAATCGAGAGCAGTGCACCGTTAACACTGTTTATTTTACTCTCCTCTCAATATCTCTGTCACACTTCCCATCCCTCGTAAACAAAGAACCTAAATATAGAAACTCACTCACTTGCTCTACTTTTTCATCTCCTATCATAATCTGGCATGCCGTTAAACTTTCATTCCTCTCAAAAACCATTACCTTCGTCTTCTTCGCATTTATTTTCATACCTTTTCTTGCATACGCTTCATTCATTATAGTCACCATTTGTTGTAATTCATACTCCGACGATGCAAAAAAAACTTGGTCGTCGGCGTATAAAAGAGTCTTAAACAGAGACTCATTCATCCTGAATCCACAATTAGATCCTTTCAAATCGGTCAAGCGACTGTCCATAAATAGGTTGAACAGCCAAGGAGACGCTACACAGCCCTGTCTAACACCGCGTTCAATGCCAAACCAGTCTGTATAGACTCCATTTATTCTGACACAGGCATTTGAATCCTTATATAAAGATTTGAATGCCCGTATCAAATGGCTGCTCACCCCATACATTGCCAGTGTTGACCACAGTTCATTCCTCTCCACTCTATCATAAGCCTTTTTAAGGTCAATGAAGGCGCAGAAAACCTTCTGATGTTGAGCTAAGGTTTTCTCTGTTATGCACCTTAAGGAAAAGACTTGATCCGTACATCCCATACCCTTTCGAAAACCTGTAACTTTTTATGTATAAGTATATTATGATATCTGCGTCAGTTCTTAACCGATTTTGATCATTATGTTTGCAATCTATACGGTATACCCCTATGTTGGTCACATATTAAATTTATATGAGCATGTAATAGTTTGAACACCATGTTTATAAATACAGTTTACTATATTAATTATTTAATACATAGGTGGGGATATATGCTTTTGTGTAAAATGAAATATCTAAAAATACCAGAGAGAGTCATCTGCTTGAGTACCTCTGTTCTATTCGTGTTTCTACCGTGAAGCAATTGTGTATGCATGCTGCGTTTCGGTTTGAATGGTGAGATATGGCAATGAAATTACAAGGTACAAAGGCATAACAACTTTGCCCTCAGGAATGACAACGCATGAGAGGTATCGTGGGTGGCCAGTAAATTCTGATATATTGGTATAATGGTACTGTTCATATCTATAAGTGATGCTTATCACTATCCATCAGGTGGGCCATCAACTTGCTTGCCATTCTAAGTTGACTAAAAAAACTATAAATGTTTTTTTTTTTTTCTTTTCAGGTACATTGCAAATAGTGAAGAGCGAGGAGAACGACCAGGGCAAGTTCGAATGCGTCGCTGAAAACGCTATAGGAACTGAATTCGCCAAGCCCACTTCGTTATACGTTAAAGGTATGTCAAACTATATGTATGTATGTAGTATGGTAAAGATTTCTTATTTATTTCAGAACTATAATTTTTCCGATATCAATCATGATAAAATGATCAAGCGCCACTCACGAGGACGCTACGTCTGCTCAATGAGGTAGTAGCGAGTTCCAATCTGGACTTATTTCACTGTACTGCCACAGAGTTCCGCAGAGCGGTAACAAATTACGCACAAATGCATTTTTAATATTTTTTTTATAACATAATTAGATTTTTATTGTTATTATTATTTCAATATTGTATTATTATAATGTTTGATTTTTTAATTTTTAGTGAGTGCATTGGAAAAACTGTGAAACTCGCCAAAAATATGTATATAAATAAATAAATAATTAAATAAAATCAGTTATTTTGATTTAAAAACGAAACCACCGAATCGATGTTGAAAAAATTTCTATGACTTATATACAATCTGATTTGACTAAAAATTCTCTAAATCGTATTATAAATAACTTAGTTATGTGGTAAAAACGTAAAGTAAATATAACGAATTTGAGAACCTACTCCTTTTTTAAGTCGGTTGAAAAAGCTTAACATTCAAAGCTTATAATATATATTTATCTACAAGAAATTTCAATAATGTATATGATGTTCTAAAGTTTTCCATCACTCGGTAATCGGTTTTAGACCAAACCACATCAAGGGTTTAGGATGCCCTGCCACGTGAGACGAACTGTCCTGCGGTCAAATTACATAATGATCTCGCGTTAATCAGTGATCATTTCAAAGGAACGGGCCAAAGGTTATTTTACATAAATTGAAATTCGGTAAAGGTCAAAGCTTACTAGTATAGTTAGGTACTAAACGTACTAAAAACGTCTTAAAATTCCTACGAACACAATAGATCATAGAGGTCTTAGATACACACAGGCAGTGTTACAGGATTTTCTGCCTAACTAAGCCCATTACTCAATAATAATAATAACAATTTTGTTACTATTGTATTGGTATGAACTAAAATAACTTGAGGTAGAGAATGTAAGAATATATCGTCGTATATATCGTTTAGTATATATCGTCTAATTTGTTTTTTTTTTTTTATTTCTTGTTATAATTATTTATATCATATTAAAAAATATGAGAATCTATGGGAAAAGTACAAGTATTTTTACTAAAAATTTTGTAAAATATTCATAATAATGAACTACTCATATTACTACTAATATTTAATAAAAAAAAATGTATTATTTTAAAATAAAGATTTGTATTTTTTGTTTGTTGCCTCATAACTCCGTCAATTATAAACCAATTTGGAAAATTATTTTATTATCTAAAAGAAAAATTAATTCATAAAAATTTTTGCAAAATTACCCTAGTAGTAGTTTAGTCTTTAAATGAGAATAACTGATTTTTCCATAATAGATCTCAGTTTTTTTTTTTTTTTTTGAGAAACGCAATCTTAATTTATTTTTATATTTTTTTAAACCGTTGTGCATTAGTAGACATCAAAAGTTGTAAAATCAAAAACTATAGTTATAAATACATACATATATATATTTTAATGGGTGATAATGGAATGGTAACTCTGCCTGCGTTGTCATACGTGAGGATGAAAGCAGTTCAGTTGGGCCATCGTGACAAAAACAAGATTTAATCACGTTGGTTTCCAGGAGAAACCACGTGGAGGTCGACCTGATATAGCATACTGCTAGCAATGGAACTGTTAGATACGCATTCCTAACAATCCCTTCCCCCGAATATATATGTTTTATTTTGTTGTTACTTCAAAATAAAGGTTCACGTAACCACGCGATTTGTATTATATATTCAATCCAATTTTGTAATTCCTCCGGTATTGTGAGTGCTTATGGGTAGTGGCACTTACCTGAGATTAGGTGAGCCACATGCTCGTTTGCTTCCTGTATTTATGAAGAAAAAAAAATATACTTTGTTAATCTGCTGTTTCATTCTTCTAAATTATTGTACTTGTTTGGAGAATAATATAATTAGGTAGAGACAGTCCCACATCCAAGAACTGTATCTATTTCTATGATAATAGTAGGCCATGTGACGTCATCATAGTTTTACACCAACAAAGTCAGGCTAAAATAAAGTATCTCCATAATATTTTATTAAAAAATAAATGAAAAATATATTAGAGATCAGACCACACCACGGCCATTAAATAATAAAATGCAAAATGCATTCCACCATCAGTTTGAATCACGGTGCTTGAAAGTCGTAAACCCAAAGCCTTCCTTTTCATTATACGCTAGGCTCATTACAGTTAATAATATAACAAATAGCCTCAAATAAGTCAGGCAACATGAAGTCGTAACGAGCTGAAAGTAGGCTAGCCGGTATAATATTCACAATATATTTCCTTCAGATAGCGTTGGGCGGCGCGGCGCCTCACGCCTCGCGTCGACGTAACACACCGTAACTTTTGTACGTTAGATAAACAGTGACTGATGTATTTGCTAGTGGCGTTATAATTTAAATAAATAAGTACGTGTTTCTTATTGTTATTTATTAAAAAAAATAAAAGAGAAAAATGAAAACAGCGACTTCAGCCGTGACAAAATTATTGCCTACGAATATCACTAATTCTTATTTGAAACGCAGGTCCTACGTCTTCAAGTAGGTTAAGTTTCGCAAAATCAGTTTTTTCTTCACAAGGGAAAACAGCAGTCTCGTTTGTCATAAAATTAAAATGTAACGACCCTCTCTACGGCAGGAAAAAATCAAATTCGGTTTCGAATCGGCGGCATAATCGCATAACGGAGTCTCAAAAAATAAAGACAAATTAGTAACCTCCTCCTTTTGAGATGAAAACAGTCTGTAAAATTTTTCGCCTCAAACCACACAACCAAATAAGAAAACTTGCAATGGTAACAGAGCTTTATTGAATTAGTTCCCAAGTTGACGAAAGGGACTCCCGATTATTTCCTCTTCAAATCTCAGCTTTTCCGGCCCCGGAGACTTTTTATAAAGTTTCCCTTTGTTATTACTACGCCTGTATAAATAATACAAGCTGTTTGTACTGTGAGCAAGGAAACTGGCAGCTTAGTGTCAATGAAACCGCTTTAAAATTTTCGCAACAATGGTTTACGCTTTAATTGTATAGGTACTCTGGAATTCACTTCCCTGATCTCTGCCTCTTTGTTTTGTGTAATTACATCACATTTATGAATGTTTCATGAAATCGTAAGAGGTCTAAACTGAAATATAATATTTTAAGATTTTGTTCCACAAAAATCAAGGCCATGAGTTTCATAGGATAAATATACAATGACGCCCACGATAGCAGTTATTACCATTGCTAAGGCCTAAGAGGTAATTAGCGCTATATAGGTACATCTCGCTGGAGCTGTACATATATAGCAACAGCTGAGGCGCTGCAACACAACAGCTTTAATTTTTTATTTTCTTAATACTGGTAATAAAGGTCATCTATCTATCTAATAACTCCGTATCTTCTAAGGGTTAACATAATAGTCGTCATAAATTGCAACGCATGAGAAATACCGTGGGTGTCACAGTATTTTCTGTGATGTCCTTATGTCCATGATGGTGTTCATCTCTATAGGTGACGATTACCACTTTCTATCAGGTGTGTCGTCAGCTATTCTACCATACTAAGGTCATATAAAAATCTTATAATTTCACTAGACAGAAATAACTTATAATTTAATTCAAGACTTGGGTGTATTTGTAAAAAAAAAACCTTTTATGGTGAAATGTAACGTTGATATTTTAATAATAGCTGACATAAAGTCAAAACCGCCCAGCATCTTTTAGTACCCAGTAAAAAGTGCTTATGTTTTACGGTCTCTGTTTACATAACAGTATATAGTGAACAAAGTGCAACAATCAGAAATCAAGCACAAGTATATACAATGAAATCGGGAAACTATAATTTCCCCTAAAGTATAATCTCTGAACAAGAAAAACTAAATATCGAGATAATTGTAGAGAACCTGTAATTGACTCTCGATTACTGTACCAAATGTATTCATTCCTCAAACTAGCTGTTAGTTTTTCTGTTATTGTAAAATACATTAAATAAACTGCAACCTCGCATTTTTTTATGACAAACAAATGTTTATATTTATAATATTAATGTGTCAATTATTGGATAGATACATAGAAAATACTCTTATTGTTCTTCCATCCAAAATATAACTGTAGAATAGTTAGCAGAATCAAAAATTACAAAAGGAGGTCATTTAGATAAACAATGGACGGTCTTATCATTAAAAGTAATTTCTTCTCTGTTCTTATTATTTCATTAATATTGTAATATATTACAAATTCATATCCAAATGCCGTAGAAATGTTAGAATGTTAATATCTCATTCAATGACTATCAGATCGACCTCCGCGTGGTTCTGCTGGGAAACTATCGTAGTTAAATTCTGGTGCGGCTTATTTACCTATCTTCATCCCTACCTATCATCTAGTAATCCGCCAGCATATACCGATTGTGCAAGTGGGATTACCATTTCATTTGCATCCTATTAAAAAAGCTATGTGCCCGGTACTACTTTCGTGATGAGTCCACAGATACGGAATAGTTATGTTTTTATTATATCTATAGATTTTCTATTATACTATTAAACAATTCAAGCTATAAATAGACAAACCAATTAGTACCAAAAACGTCACAACCTTAACAAACAATCCTTATCCACGGCCGCAGGTGATTACCTAAATAGAACAAACAAATCGTTGGTCATCTACAATGTTAAATGATTGATGAATTAGACAGCCAACAGTCCATCACTACTCGTCCAACAACTAACGTAATTAACCCGCGTTTACAGTATCCATTCTACGGTACACTAACAGTGTGATCACCTTGAAGTACGTATTCTGCTATTTTAACTCGAATTCTGTTAAATCATGTCATAATTGCCAACTTAATTTTGCATAGTAATAATATAGATTTTGATATAAATTGTACTCATAATAAAGTTATGTAACTTGAAGCAAGTTATTATCATAATCATCGTCATTTCAAC